TGTACAAAGTGTGTGTGCAAGTCATGTATTTATATCTATTTATACTCATTTCTCTACATATGTACACATTTATTAACACATGTACGTACGTTCTAATGTTTACACGTGTCTGTTTGTCTGTCTACAGGTCCACTGACGGAGGTAACGGCTGTAGAAGGAGGCAGGACGTTGCTACCATGTAACATCACAGCCTCTACTCCTGACGACGCCCCTATACTAGTGCTCTTCTATAATGGCGCTACAGGGACACCCATATACAGGTGGGGAGAGAGGAACATCACTGATCCTTAGCGAAAGACAGACAGACAGACAGACAGACAGAATGTGTAAGAGAGACAGACAGACGACAGACAGGCAGAGACAGACAGACGAACAGACAGACAGAGACAGGCAGATGGGGACAGACAGACAGAAGAAAGAGAAAACGACAGACAGAAAGAGACAGAGACAGACAGACAGATCCTCCAGATATATTGTTTCTGAATAACAGCAAAATTATCCTCGACTTCAACAAAAAAATACCTATTATTTATTTTAACATTTTTATTATTATCATTAATATATTCGTAATGTATTAATATAATTTTATATTTCATTACGTAAGTTTATATTTTTGTGTAAAGTTTATTTCAAAATTTATTCCGTGAGGCTGGCCGGGGCACCTTTAGTCCACCATGTTGTGAATAGGTACCAAACTTTGGAGGAATTAACGTACGGTAGCTTTAGGACACTACCAATACTACCGAGGCTACAAAGGCTACCGAGAGTACCGGGCGTATTGTCTCCTTGTGTATTGGGAGGTTGGTAGTACATGTAATCAGTGTGCTGTATCCAACTTGTAACTGGTGTGAGGTGGGTGGTGAAGGATTGTTAAGGTGGTTTGATACGTGGTCATTGGTAGCTGGGCGTAAGGAGAGAGAGAGAGAGAGAGAGATCACCTGAAGATTAGCCACCCTAGTTGATTTCTTCTGATTTAACAACTAACCTAACACACCCAGTTAGCGTTAGGGTATATTCTTATGGCAGTAGTAGGTAGTAGGCAGCTACCAAACAGGGAGTACTACCGCCTGGAAGATATTGGAAGCATAATGTGTTGTCTAATGGTAGACCCTGCTGCCATATGTGACCAAGTCCCAGGTTGATGATCTGACTTTCTGTCTCATTTACACACAATTGCAGGGTCTCAATTGTTTCTCTTACTATTGACAACACAACATACATATATTGTTTCTCACTATTGATCTTTTTTCATAATTGTATTTATTTATGGTTATTATTATTATTATTATTATTATTATTATTATTATTATTGTTGTTGTTGTTGTTGTTGTTGTTGTTGTTGTTAACGCTAGAGAGTATAAGGTGTAAGGCTACTGAGACACTCTGCTACACAATATAAGTATGAGTGAGATGGAGAGACAGACAGACGGATCATCCACCCGTCTTGAAGGTCACACGGGAGGCGGTGGTCGAGTCGTCATGTTACACTGGTTTCTGTCCCAACACTCGATAGATCCCATCCTAACACGCTCTCCTTCATCGGTCATATAAAAACCTTATTAAACTCTATATAATTTAATAAATGATAAAAAAACTAAATATATTATTTATATTATATTTTTAGTTTTTGGGGTGATATATATATATATTTTTACGGTTAATTTAATGATAAAATTTGGTGTAAGAATGTTTGGGATGACGTGATGTTGTGGTGGCGGCGAGGTGACCGGACGCTCCGCTGTGCATGACTCTCGCCTTGACTCATAACATGGCGTGACTCATTCCCTCTATTGACAGATAATATCCCTCAAATATTTATCTTTTATCATTCTCCTCCGATGGGTAGAATATATATTTAGTATCTTCCTCTATATAACTTACGCATTAATGAAAGGATTGTATTAAAAATTTATGAAAGATTATTGGTTCAGCTAGGTGTTATGGTCGCATTGTCAAGTTGAGGTCACGGGGTCAGAGGTCAAAATTTACTAGTGTAATTATAATTTTTATTGTGATCAGTCAGCAGCCATCAGTTACAGCGATTATTTTTGTTTGTCTTTTTTTTAAATTGAGAATAATTGATGTTTTATGCTAAAGGTGGATAATAATTAATTGATGTAAAATATTGTCATTAATTTAGTGTGGGTGATTATCAGTGGCTCTCTTCTCTCTCTCTCTCTCTCTCTCTCTCTCTCAAAGTCAAATAGGTTGATGAGAATTCAGTTAGGAAGGTGTAGTGTTTGAGAGAGAGAGAGAGAGAGAGAGTTGTGGTGTGGATGAGTGGGTTTCCTAATCACCCGTCAGTCATGTGTGTCCCAGGTAAAGGAGAGATGGAGGAGAGAGAGAGAGAGAGAGAGAGAGAGAGAGGAGAGAGAGAGAGTAATGCAACTTAATGTTCAGTTGGGGAAAAATTTGGGTTAATTTAGGTAAGTACAACATACAACATACATACATACATACATACATACATACTGTAGTGAGATAGCCTCCAGAGAGACTTGTTGGTATACAGTACTGTAGTTGTGTGTTGGCCGGAGCCGAGGAATGATTGGATTATGGTGAGGTCAAAGGTCGGGGTCAAAGGTACCAGGCACTCGAGCACAATTGTTCAGAATATCTACCTAACCTAACCTGGGGGTTAGAGTTAGGTTAGTTATGAATATTTACTGATAAAAACCCCGTTAACTTGGATAGCAAAAATAAAACAACAAATATTTTCAAATCGTCAGGTGGAGGGACGGAGACCTCTTGTTGGGTATAAAAAAATAAATAAATAAAATGAAATAAATAAATAAAGTCTGTCAGATTTCAGGTCCAATTTATTTTATACATTATACATGGTGAACTGTATACCTGCATTATCTATATACATGGTGAACTGTATACCTGCATTATCTATATACATGGTGAACTGTATACCTGCATTAATTACTGGTACAACGCTTTCACTGTATAAATATCAAACCTTTCTTTCACGAGGACGAGATTATAAGAGAATTTTTTTGTGTACTTTTTATTAAGTTAAAATTTTAATATACAATTTTAAACGTTACTAAAATCTATTTCCTTGTTCAGTTAAAAGCAGAGTTTAAATTATATGTACGGAATAATTATGTTCTGAAATACTAGTGGTGGTGTGTGTGTGTGGATTGGGGTATGAAATACTAGTGGTGGTGTGTGTGTGTGTGGATTGGGTGTGCTGGAAATACTAGTGGTGGTGTGTGTGGATTGGGGTGTGCTGAAATACTAGTGGTGGTGTGTGTGTGGATTGGGGTGTGTTGCATATCCTGTATTCACCTCTGTATCCTCGTGTTTACAGCATCGACGCGAGGTCCGCCCGCTGGTTCGCTCGGTACACTGGTCGGAGTGAGGGACGCGAGCACACTTTGATGTTAGTTCGAAGCCTCAGGGTCTGGTGATCGACAGCGTGGAGCCAGCACACGAGGGCCACTATCGCTGCCGGGTCGACTTCCGGCCTCCCTACTAGGAACCTAAGGGTGAAGCTGACGGTAGTGGGTGGTATTAGACAGACACAGACAGACAGATGCAGAGATAGACAGACAGACACACAAGCACAGAGACACAGACAGGTCCACACACACACACACACACACACACCTACACACACAGACACAGACAGACACAAAGCAAACAGGTCCAACACACACACACACACACACACACACAAGGTAATCATGTAATTATATCACTAATGAGAGGAAATTTAAGTAGTACTTGGGCTATGATTGGTCACAGGTATTGCTGGAGTAATTAGTCCCTCTCTCACCTGTGGATTATACCCAATCATACGAATTATAGTGGCATACCTCTGGATAATTAACCTGCACAGGTAACCCCAGATAATTAACAGGTAAACCCCAGATAATTAACAGGTAACTACAGATAATTAACAAGTAACCCCAGATAATTAACAGGTAAACCCAGATAATTAAGTAACTACAGAAAATTAACAGGTAACCCCAGATAATTAACAGCTAAACCCCAGATAATTAACAGGTATCCCCAGATAATTAACAGGTAACCCCAGATAATTAACAGGTAACCCTAGATAATTAGAACCCAGATAATTAACAGGTAACCCCCAGATAATTACAGGTAATCCTAGATAATTAACAGGTAACCCCAATAATTAACAGGTAACCTAGATATTAACGGTAACCCCCAGATAATTACAGGTAATCCTAGATAATTAACAGGTAACTAGATAATTAACAGATAAACCCCAGATAATTAACAGGTAATCCCAGATAATTAACAGGTATCCCAGATAATTAACAGCTAAACCCCAGATAATTAACAGGTATCCCCAGATAATTAACAGGTAACCCAGATAATTAACAGGTAACCCTAGATAATTAACAGGTAACTCAAGATAATTACAGATCCAGATAATTAACAGGTATCCTAGATAATTACAGGTAACCCCAGATAATTAACAGGTAACCCTAGATAATTAACAGGTAACCCTAGATAATAACAGGTAATCCTAGATAATTAACAGGTACCCCAGATAATTAACAGGTAACCTAGATAATTAACAGATAAACCCAGATAATTAACAGGTATCCAGATAATTAACAGGTAACCCTAGATAATTAACAGGTAACCCTAGATAATTACAGGTAACCTAGATAATTAACAGGTAACCCCCAGATAATTACAGGTAACCTAGATAATTAACAGGTAACCCCAGATAATTACAGGTAATCCTAGATAATTAACAGGTAACCCCAGATAATTAACAGGTAACCCTAGATAATTATCAGGTAACCTAGATAATTAACAGGTAACCCCCAGATAATTACAGGTAATCCTAATTAACAGGTAACCTAGATAATTACAGGTAATCCCAGATAATTAACAGGTAACCCCAGATAATTACAGGTAATCCTAGATAATTAACAGGTAACCCAGATAATTAACGGAAACCTAGTAATAGGTAACCCCAGATAATTAACACAGGTATCTCTCCCCTCCAGTGCCCCAGGAAGGGTGACCATACAGAGCAGTAGAGGTGTGGAGGTGAGCGGTGTCATTGGCCCTTTCCTGTGGGGGAACCATTATCACTCACCTGTCTCGTCCGGTGGTAAGTGTTCCTCTTGTTCAGTGTTCCTTTTGTTCAGTGTTCCTCTCTGTTCAGTGTTCCTCTGGTTCGGTGTTCCTCTGTTCAGTGTTCCTCTTGTTTAACGTTCCTCTTGTTCAGTGTTCCTCTTGTTCAGTGTTCCTCTTGTTTAGTGTTCCTCTTGTTCAGTGTTCCTCTTGCTCAGTGTTCCTCTTGTTCCTCTTGTTCACCCGTCCGTGTGTGTGTGTTAGGTGCATAGTGGAGAGAACAGTTGGTTGATGATTCAGTAAATTATAAAGTAATGCACCTTTTGGGCTCCCGACCTTTCCACTTGCTCTTGTTAATACGTTCTTAGTCTGTAAGCTTCTGTAATATATTGTAACGATACTGTAAGCTTCTGTAATGTTCCGTAATTTATTGTAGCTTCTATAATAATACTGTAGTGTTGTGTAGTGTACTGTGACCTTCTGTAATGTATTGTAACGATACTATAAGGTTCTGTTATGTTCTATAACGATACAAGCTTCTGTAATATTCTGTAGCTTCTATAATAATACTGTAATTTTCTGTACTGTGAGCTTGTGTAACGATACTGTAAGGTTCTGTAATGTTCTAAATTTAGGCAACAGCAAATCGTGTTCTGTAATGCTGTGATTCTACGATACAGCAACTTGTAGTGTGTTTATAATTCAGGCATTATTATTATTATTATTATTATTATTATTATTATTATTATTATTATTTATTATTATTATTTAGCGAACACGATTACTTCTCTCTCTCTCTCTCTCTCTCTTCTCTCTCTCACACACACACACACACACACACACACACACACACACACACACACACACAAAGACCTTCAGTGTAGGAAATCAAACAAAATATGACGTGACCGGAAGTGCTTAGTGACGCCTGTACCTGATGCCTCCTGTATCTCTCACCTGTGTCTCATCTGTGTCTCTCACCTGCGTCTCTCACCTGTGTCTCTCACCATTGTCTCTCACCTGTGTCTCACCTGTATCTCTCACCTGTGTCATCTGTGTCCCTCATCAAATTTGAAAAGAGATATTGACTATAAAATTTTTATTTTTTAATAAGTTTGAATTGAGTTGTGTACAGTAATAGTACACACACACACACACACACACACACACACACACACACACACACACACACACACACACACACACACACACACACATCAGGGGTTAATTTATTCCGTAATTTCTGTGTTGGGTTGAAGGTGTTAACACAATTATTAACACTGAATGAGAATTTATTGTTAGCTGATACTGGGAAGTAGTGAAGGGGGAGGGTGAGAGGGGGTGGTAGTGAGAGGGGTGGAGAGAGGGGAGGTGGTGAGAGGGTGGGTGAGGTGGGTGAGAGGGGTGGGGGAAGGAAGAGAGGGAGAGATGGGAGAAAAGGAAGATGAGAAAGAAAATACGACTTAAATAATAGCAACACACACACACAATAATATTTATCACCGACACAATATCTGGATCGAGTCATTATTCAAAACATTACTAATTAACTCAGCTATAAATATTTTTGTTCTGTTTTAATATCTCTATGTTTTTTTTTTATTATATTCACTATCTTTTCTATTTTCATTTCGTTAATTTTGTGTTTCATATTATCTCTGCGG